TGGCCAGGAGTTCAGCGTGACCATGACCAGGAAATTTTAAATGCCTTCAGGAGCAGCATTTGATAATTTGTCCCTGCCCTGTCTGAGCCAGTGGCAGCAGGATTTCTTAATAACTTCCAAAGGAGCTGGGGCTGCAGGCAGGCTCCCTGGGCAGAGGAAACCTCCTGGAAGGGGTTTGGCACCTTTCTGTGGCAAGGGGGCATCTCCACCTTCACTGCAGAGGCAGAAGAAAGTGCCTTGAGGAAAGTATTGATGCTTGAGGACTGCTCCAAGGCAGGAAGAGGGTCTTGGTCGTGAACCCCATGTTTGCAAGGCTTTTGGAAGCCCAAACATCTCCCTCTCACCCATCCCACCCTCCTTTGGGAAGATTTGAATCAAAGTTTTGAGCTTTATACTTATTGAAAAGTAATACATCACAGTGCCTGTGACAGCAGGGACTTGGTATGAGGACCCAAGAAACCATTCCCAGCCTCCTGCTACTTGATGTACTTGATGTCTGGCTCCTCTTCTGAAGTTTGCTAATTGGGCTTGTTCCTGGCATCAGATGAACCTGCCTTGGCAGACCAGGTGTCTTCCAACCCAGCAGTGGCACCAGCTCTCAGAGGGGCAGCTTTCCCCAAAAGCATATGGTAGGAAAGCTGGAACCAGTCCCTCTATTTGAAGAAGAGCTCATCTGCTGGTAAACACCTCCTAAGTTACTGCTCTTACACTGCAGGAATGCTCAGGGCTCATTGAAGTGCCACAAGTGCAGGGACCTTGCTCACATCTGGGCCTCATCTCTGGGGGCACCTTGGCTAGGTTGAAGGCTGCTGTGCTGGCCTTGAATTGGGCTCTTTAATCCGAAAGCTGTTAGAATTTTCCTCTTGCTGTTCAATCAAGAAAATATATATATATATATACACACTTAATGTTCCACTGGAAGTGATATTGATCCTATGTGACACCGAATGTTTTGCAAAGCCTCGGAAAATGTTGGGAATGTCAATAATTCTTTGTTTTGCTGCTTGAGAGATTTGGTTTCGGGTAAAAAGATGCTAGTTTTTCAGATGAGAACTTTGAAAAGTGTTGCAGCCAAGTCCAGCAAGGACCTCGCTAGACAGAGCTGTCAGGTGCGGAGAGGCACCCGTCTCCTGATTTCTGCCTGCTCTGAGAATCTGCACCCTGCTTTTTGCCCCCATAAAGTGTGTTTGGAAGGCAGGGTTTAGGAGACAGCCCTGTCTGCTGGTCTGACCAGCATGGAGGCCAGCCCTTTCTGCTTGTACCTGCTGGCTGTGGTGAGGGGAGGTGACACGAGGAGCAGCTGGGACGTGCACCCACAGCTTTACATCCTCACTAGCCCACCGTAGCCTGGCTTTGCGTGGCATCTGGAGGATGGATGAGACTGTCAGCCCATTGCTTCTGCTGGAGAAGTTGCCCTTCTTTTCCTCTTTTAGACTTCATCCCCCAGGGCTGTTAATGCAGCTTTTCCCAGAAGGGCTAAATTTAAAGCAAATGGAAGCATATTGTATTTTTGGCTCTGGTAGGTAGAGCTGTATAACACCCTGCGCTCATTACTGCTTTCTCTCTCTCTCTTTCTGTGCAGAGTGTATATCATAGGCTGTCATTGTATTTAAATAATAAAGCAGAACCAGGATTATTTTGTACACTTTTTTCTCCTCTCTGATCTCCCCATTGAAAAATGCATGGAAAGCAACAGATGTTTCGACTTTGTAGCTTGAACCTTCTCAGCTGTTTGAAGATTTGATGTAAAGGTCTTTGAACATCAGTTTCAGAGGAGACTCTCTTAGTAACAGTTGCCATGCAAAATTCATAATTAATGAAGATTTCAGGGTTATGGTGAGTTTTAAAAATGTTATTTCGTTATTATTATTATTTTGCACAGTTCTTAATAAGCTTGGAGAAGCAGCACCATCCAACTGGAAGAAGCAGCCCCAGCAGCAGCCTGGTGCGGTGGCATTGCTCGGGGTGCCTCCTCCAGGCTGCTCGGCTCGGTGGCAGCCAGCCCAGCTCTCTGCTTGGCCAGGAGCGATGTGGGTGCTGATTTGGGCAGGATCTGCTGAAAGGCACCCTGTAATTGGGGTTCAGGCACTCACCTGGGCCTGCTGTATGAAAGCAAGGCGCTGATGTGACTCGGAGGGCTGGATTACCCTCTAGTGGCTGCAGTTTACATCAGAGGAGGGAAGCGTGCTCCTTGCAGATGTGCTTACCATGCACTCGATGCTCCTGGCTGCAGAGCAGAGGGCGAGCCAGGGGCTGTAGGGGAGCAGACACAAGTCCTGTAGGAAATCTGAGGTGCAGAGCGATGCAGATACTTGGGCTAACTGCAGTGCAACACCTGCTGCATGACTGCTGGCACTGGGCAGGATGCTTTTGGGAGCACTTGCTGGTGGGATGGGGCGAGCAGTCACGCTCCTGTGGCCACCACACCAGAGCAACTCTTCTGAGTAACATTTGGGTGTGTTGGGTATAGACATCTGCATCACCATGTTCAAAAAATGGGGCTCGGGCTGTGATTTGGCTTCCTCTTGGACTCTTTTGGCTTTCTCATGTTGCCACCAGGCAGCTGCTCCAGGCGTCTCTGCGGTGGGGCGATCCCTTCCCTGCCATGCCATGGGATGCAGCACCCACCCCAAACTTTTCCACTGGGTCCACCCTCTGTTAATGCTCTAGGGACATTTGGGCTTATGACCAAGTAGCAATCCCCTGGTTTTAAGGCAGGACAGGAAGGATTTTGTGGTGTACTTCGCATCAAGCTAGCTGGTCCGCAGGCGTGCGCAGGCAGCTCTGGTTGTGCTGGTGACACTGACTGTCTCCAAGCATCCCCTGGGAGAGGCAGAGGCTCGGCAGTGTCAGCACTGGCCAGTGACACTCAGCTGCCACCAGCAAGCCACCACTGGCTGCCGTAGCAGAGGCATCAAGTCATGCATTTAATTGGTGTCTATTGGATTTTTTCTCCTGCAGCTACAGCTCGTGCCACTTCTTGTGACATCCACGAGAAGCGGTGATGTGGGTTTGTTTGTGCGTCTGACTCAGGGGGGGTTCTCCACGCCAGCATCTGACCCCTTCCCCCCATCCTGACGGCTGTTTTTCTGTGTCACTGGGCTGCAGTAAGAGGACACTTTCGGGTCGTGGGGTTGCGGGTTGGGCAGAGGAAAGAGAGCCCAGCCTGTGGGGACAGCCTGAGGGATGTGCCACTCTCCTTGCTGCTGGTGCCCCAGGATGTTATAGCAAAGCTGTCCTCCAGCACAGGAGCTGCAGCTGGGCCTCCGTCGTGTCACCGCCGTGTCACCGTGTGCCCCAGCTGCTGGACGAGCTTCAGTGGCTGCAGGGACAGAGAGGGCAGGCTGGGTGGCACTTGTCCAGGTGCTGTTGTGCTGGATTTTCTGCCTGTTGCTGGAAAGGGCAAAGTGTTGGAGGCTCTGGGTGTGGGTAGACAAGCTGGGACCTAACGGAGCTTCTCCCTCCAGCACTGATAATCCATTTCTCCATCCTATCAGAGAGGACTGGGCTGGAAATGTCTGAATTGAACACCTGAGGTTTTGAGGCATTTCAGAAGCTAAATCCACATTTCTCAGCTGGCCCTGGTCTCTAGAGTAAGTGGAATCAGCCCCCACAACAAGAACCCCATGGCTTTAAGTTGGGAGGTTGGTTACTTCTGCTCAGCTCCTGCACTGGGCTTCCCAGCCCCGTGTTTCCAGAAGAAAGAGGAGAGAGGCTTGAACTGGAGAGGCTGGGGCTGGCTCCTTGCTGTGCCTGTGTGCCTGCTAGCCTGCTCATCAGGGCTCTGGGCATTGTGCTCGCCCTGCTGTCCTTCAGGGAACACAACGCAATAGATGGTGACAGCCCACAGAGCTGTCAGACCCAGCCCGTCATCCTCAGCCAACGCAGTGCAGGCCTCTGGGGCTCGCTGCCCACCCGCCCGACCCCCTGGCTGGGCTGTGTGCATGTGAGGGGCGTCCTGGTAGCTTGTCCTGCTCCTCTCCCAACTGGTAATTCACCTCCTTGTGCAGACATCTCGTTATCCTCCTGGGAACCTCCTCCCTTTCCTCCCATCCTTCCCTTGGATTCATCTCTGCAGCGGTGCTGGGCTCCAGCCTGAGCAGAAAGTGCTGGTGGCGTGGGCTGAGGTGTGGTGAAGGGCAAGGGGGCTTCCTGCAGGAGCTCAGCTCCTGTCCAGGCACTTTTGGGGGATGTCAGAGGCCAGGGACTGCTCCCAGGGGAGCAGCTGGAGTGAAGCTGATCCGATGTTGGGAATGGAGAGAAGAGTGCACTCGTGTTTAGCAAGTTTTGTTGGGGGAAAGAAAGAAAAAAAAAAGAAAAAGGAAAAAAAGCCATGTTGCATTTTATACACTTAATTTTTATTGACATTTATTTGTAATACCATGAAGAAACACCTCTGTAAACCGAAACGGCCCGCATTCCTGGAGCTGGGGCAGCCACCTCCAGCCACGTATGGCAAGAAAGCCCCGCTCCTCTTGCACCCCTTCCCCCTTTCCATCCCATCTCTGCCTCTCAGACCCAAACCCAGCTCCGTGGGAAGGGAAGGGGGGATCCTCTCCGTCCTGGCAGCGGCCACCCACCCCTCTGCAGCGCTGCGCCAGCCCTGTCTGACCCCGTCTCCCATAACCTGCCGTGGCAGACGCGGCCTCGCAGCCCCGACGGGCTCCGTGCTCGGCAGAGGGGAACGGCTCCGGACTCTAATCCGAGCCGACAGATTGAGGGCACACGCGCCCGTGGTGCAAGCGGCGGAGAAGGGCAGGGGAAGGGGAGGGAGTGTGGGTAGTTCGCTCAGCTGTTGTGGTTCGGGGTCCTGAGACCCTGCCAGAGCTGAGGGAGGTGGAAGGGAGTCTCCTTTGGGTGAGGAGCAAGGGGTGTGAGTGCTGGCAGCCCTAGGGGTCAGAGCATTGGGGCTAACCTGTCTGATCCCACACCGAGCTACTGAAGTGTGCAGGCAGCAAGCAGGGGAGTGGGAACTTCTATGGCTAAATTTCCCCTGCAGCCAGCCCTGGTGTGTTTTACCAGCCTGGGCTTCATCTGCAGCCAAACCAGGGATGCTGGCACCCACAGCCCATCAGGTGATGGATGAGCAAGGGCTGTGCTCGTCCCCAGGTGCTGTCAGGGTGCTGGCTCCCAGGGGCAGGTGCTGGGCCAGGTGCTGCACTGAGGGGCTTTGGCGTGTGCCACAGGTGGGCATGCAGCAAGGTGCTTTCAGTGGGATGGCAAAGGATTTTGGTTAAGTCCCCTGAGGAGCAGAGCAAATATGGGCATGTCAGAAAGGCAACAGGCTTCCCTGGACCTGGGGTGTTTGTGTGCCGTGCCGTGGGTGCTGCTTGCATGCTCGTAAGCGCTCCTTGGTTCAGGTCTGGGCTGTAGTGTGGAGGTTTTCACTGGTATCATAGCACACAGGGGACAAATAATACGGAGCAGAGGAAGGCACAGGGATATAAAAACAATCCCCTCAGCAAATGGAGGGCCATGGCACATCAATTTCTTTCTGCAGTGTCTGGTGGTTGTTGCAGGAAGACGCGGTGCAGCCACCTCACCAAAAGACCCCCCTGGCTTTGTGGTACCTGGGTCTCCCCATGGCAAAGAGACAACAGGAGGTAAGATGAGCTGTTTGCTCCCTGTGGGCCCCTGGGGGTGCTGGTAACTCCTCGCTTTGCTTTGGCTGGAGGATGGCTCACTGCTCTTTCATCCCAGCTAGGCTGATATTAAGAAAACCTTGAATGGCTCTGAAGGCATCTGCTCCTAGCTGGTATTTCTTGGACACATCTGAACTGTACTACTCATACAGACACCTAAACTCTTTCCCTGCTTGCCATGAGGGCACAGAGGTGTCTGCAGTCCCCACAGCTCCAGGGACCCTGCTCCTCACGCCTGGATTTCCAAAGGCGATATCTCCATGGGGTGACAAACGTGGGGAGAGGGGCCAGGAGCTGTACAGCCCCAAGGGCTGGGCTGCTCTGTTGCAAATCCTGTTAGTGGTGAAGAGGGATGAGAGGGAGAGAAGTGTGGAAAGAGAATCAGCTCTAGACAGAATATATGTATTTTTTTGCCTGCTCCCCGGGAGACTTTTGAGAGTCTCAGAGCAGCATTTCACATAGTTACTCAAGTGGAACTGCTCTGAATAAATAGTTGCATTTCAGCAGTGGAGATTTAAAACCCAGGTCTTGGCAATTTCTGGCTGCTGAAAATCCCTTGGTATTTTTCAGAGTAGTGGGTGTGTTAACCTCAGTACCTTGGCCAAATTCCCAGCTGGGAACCACCTCATAAAATCCCTTTCATACTCCTAGCAGGCTCCATCTTAAAAATCTTTCCTTCCACCCCCCCTTTTTTTTCCTCCTCCTCATTTGCCCCAGCTGCCTCACTGCTCTGGTGAGGCGTAATTCTGAGTTTAGGCATGTTTCTAGCTAGTTGATATATTTTTAGCACTGGTGTCATCCTTCCACTGCTTTTCCCTTTCTTTACAGTTAGGATGGAGAGAGTAATCGCATCTCCTTCAGCCAAGAAAACAAAAAGTTTGTGTCCCCTCTTAGGTCACTTCCTACTCATAGGTTATCCTGGCAGGATTTCATTGTTTCTGTTGTTGTCCTTGAGAGTGGGTGACCTGTTTGTTGCTGTCCCCTTCCCTCCCAGCCCTCTGCTGCTGCACCACCAGATCCCAGCCTGGCTCTACATCGCCTGGGCTCTAAGCCTCCTCCTCTGTACCATAGCAAGTCACTTCTCATTGTGCCACTGCATCAAACGATTCACTAACGTGCAGATTTTCCTTTACCAAGGAGATATTATCAGAAAAATAAGACAAAAATGATAAAAGTCCCTGTTCAGAATAGTCCAGCATCCCCCAGCCCACCCTTGTCTTTCCTTCTTCCCTCACACACCGGGTTGGCAGCTGCTCAGATTTATTTTTCATTCTTCTTACTTCGTGGTGCTGCATTTTCTGTTCTCCACCTCCTTTCTGATGGATTTATCAGAGCCCTTGACCCCATTCCTGTCATACCACAGGCTACTTCCACCAGGACTTTGGGCTGGGGGCTACCTGGGTGCCCCATCACTTGATCACAGGCAGATCTTGGTTCCTCACTTCCCTTTCAGCTGTGGTAAGAACATTTTCCATGTTGGTTACGCAGCCTAGTTCGTATGTTTACAATTATTGTCCCTGTCCAGAGCTGCCGAGAAGAATTCATTTAGTCTTGGGGCCTCACCTAGACTTCCTGTGAACTCTTGTTCCCTGTCCTGCATCACAGCACTGCTTGTTCTGTCTTTATTATCTTTGTGTTTGTATGGCTGGAGAACCTTTCACTATTTGTTTTAATATCCTTCCCAAGGTCTAACTCAGTTTGACTTCTGGCATTTCTCACTCTATCTCTCCACTTCACAGCCCCTACAAACCTTCCTTCTCTGCTGCTTAATCATTTTCCTTTCTGTGCTCTTTCCTTACTACGTTTAGTCCCTCTTACCATATTAATTCCAGCAAGTTAGGAGCTGCTCCTTGTGTATTTTTTCCACCTTTGGGATGCAGTCTCCACTGGAGTTTTTCACTTGGTTTAAGGAAGCTTGAACCTCCCTTTTATATCCAAGACATGGGTTTGCCCTTTTGAAACCAGGAACCTTTAGGCGACATTCTGCTCTTGTTTATCTGTCTGCTCTGGTTAAAATATGTCAAAATACAGCATAAGTTTAAAATAAGTCACCCTGTCCAAGGTTATTTTCCAGTTCCAGCCCTTCCATGGTGTTCTTATCACTCATCAATGTTGAGTCTAAAACAGTCTCCCTTCTTGGTGCTACACCTACTGTTGCTGTTCCACTTTTTGACCATGGTAACTTGGGTATCTGGACCCTACTGTTTCAGATTTTTTTGTTTTTGTTTTTGGTCTTCATTTGCCCAGTTAGTCTCCCACAGTAAGTATTTTTCTGATAGTTTCTCTCTTTCTAATGGTGTTAACAGGAATTTCCATGTCCATTCAAACCCATTCCTGCTGCTCCAGGGAGGTCTTTCATCACTTTCCTAACAGAGCTGCTTTTATCTCCTTTGTCCAAGTGATGCTGACCCTAAATGATCTTCCTCTATTCTCTCATATGTCTTCATCCATCATGTTGGTGAGGACGTCGCTGCCTTGCCACTTCCCTCGTCCCACTTGTCTTGAGGGGAGCAAAGCCCTGCCAGTTTTATTGCTTGTCCTGGTTTCTGTCACCTCTACAGCACCAGGGTCAAGCTGGGCAATAGCAACACAGTTTTCTTCTCTTCTTCAGCCTCCTTGTGGCTCAGTCTGCTGAGCCACGCTCAGTCTGCTGACAAACCTCTGGAGCTGCCCATCCTATCCCACCAAATCCCCAGCTGGCGATGCCTCACTGGTGTGATCCTCTGATGACCATGAGCCTGGAGCCAGCAGCTCCTGCTGCTCGTACAGCTCCTGCTTGCCCTCAGCAGCTGTGCAGAAACATGCTTTCCTCTGAACCTTTTCCATAATTAACTTCTTTTTTTCTTTCTTCTTCTTTTCTGTAGCATATTGTCGGTGTCTTCTGGTCTCTGAGCCTCCTGGGAGCCCGAGGAGGATACATGAGTTGATTTCTTCTGGAAGGGGGATGAGCAGCCTCCAACTTGCCAGCCCAGGTGGATTATCTTGTCCTTTTGGTTTTAATAAGCTGTGCAAGACTAAAGAGTGACTATGGATTAGGCTTTTTTTCCCCCTTGAATTTATTTTGGCACTTAATTGGAGTAAGAACAAAGGATGCTGGGTCCTTGTGCGCCACTGCCTTTCACACTGGCACTGGTAGGAAACCTATTAGCAAATCTGGCCAGCGGATAGAGACCAAGGGGTTTGTGGTTTTGAGGGACTTACATGTTGTTAAACATTTTGCAGTGTTTGAGCTGTTTGTATGTGTTGGGCTTGTTTTCTTCCCCTTCCCTTCCACTTCATCTTCACTGTCTCCCTCACCACAAACCTGATTTTGAAAGTACATGCACTTATTAATTTATGAGCTGTGGTCAGTGCTGTGGGAAGAGAGACCGGGAGGGAAAGGGGTTTGTGCACGTGGCAGGGCCATAATGAGATCAGGGATGGAGGAGGCTCTGCGTGTGGACTCCTGCTTTTGCTGAGATACTTGATCCTCAAAAGAATGAATACAGCACATGACAGCTTCAGCTCCCCAGCAGCTTAATATTTCTACGGATGATTGATGGCACTCTGTACAGGACCTTCCTACATACGGGTGGGCAAGTCTAGACCACAAATATCCCGTGTTTGTGGCTGATAACAGGGGCTAGAGGAGGACACAGGAGGAGAGCAAGACCCTGATGCTCTCCTCCACTTCCCAGGGCAGCAGTGACCACAGCCTGGGGCAGGACAGAGCAGAGCTGCCCCTTCCTGCTGCTCCTGCCCAGCCCATGAGGCTGCAGCCCGTTGGGGTGACTTGGCAGGGGATACACGTCCCCTCTGCTCCCAGCTGGAGGCCACAGCGCTGGCAGGTACAGGCACTGCCTCCCGCATGGCTAATTGCATTTGCCTTAGCTAAAAAGCAAAAGATAAGAAAACCGACGGAAGGCGGAAGCGTTATCCTGATTTTACATACTGTTTGCATCTGGTGGCATTTTTACTGTAGCCCTACTGGAACTTTGCAAACAAGATCGATTTTCTCGTTTAACCCTTTGCCCCAGTGCTCAGCGCAGAAGCAGGTTTTGCTTCTCACAAGCCCACGGTGCCCTGGTTTCCAGCAGCCTCTGAATATGCAGTCTGTGAGTAAGGAGGTGTTTGTGCTGGGTTGTCGTTCGTGGCTCCTCCAAGAGCTGAGCTTGCCAGCCTGTTACTGCAAAGCTGTTCAGGAACGTGGCAGTGCTGGACAAACAGGGCTTGTGGTTGAAGGGCTTCTCGGGGGAGCTCAGCGGCTTCTAGTAGAAAAAGCGCAATTAGCGCTCGGGCATCTGGGATGTGTTAGGACTCCTTTGACACATGGAGAATCATATGGATTTTTCCAACGAGATGTAGAAACAAAAAAGACAGGTCATCATCTGGCCTTTCTGATCTCAACATGCATCCCATTAACTAAGGGAAAAAATGTTGCAGGGAATTCGTGAGTTGGCTCAGTTGCGTGTGGGAAAAGATAGAAGTCGGGGAGGGGGGGAAGCACCACGTTAAATGTAACCCCCATATGCCCATTTAGGATTTAATAAGAGAGTTACCACATCGCTGGTAAGTGACAGCTGGTTATTGGAAGCATACGCTGAAGCTGTGGATGATCTGAAGGCAAAGCTGATGCTTAGCTATTCATACACCCGTACATCTGCCTTTAATAATGACTTTTAATTTTGTTAACATGCATTAACGAGCTTATTAAATCAAAATAAAATGGGAATCTTACTCTTAATGCAACCACACAAAAAGGACCCAACCCTAAACCCTGCCTCTCTGGCTCTAGCCCATGGTTTCCTGGGTAAAAATGTTTCCAAGGGTAGGTTTAACCCAGCATGTCATTCTGGCAGATTCACGACGATTTTATTTCCTCTCTCTACCCTTTCTACCTTTTTTTTTTTAAACTGCGCATTTCCTTGCTTAGCCCCCTCTAGAGCTGTATGTGTATGGGGCACAGCATGGGCGGGAAGTTCAGCCCAATTCGAAGTTGTTCGATCTAAAAAGCAGGCAGCAAGCATCATTTCGACTGACTCTCTCAGCAGAGGCGGCACTTCTGGCCTCTCTAGATGAGTGAGGGATCTACACCAGCTCTTCAGGCTGAAACATTCTGGGGCTGTGAAGGAGAAAAAGGCCGGACTCGGCAGTGTGGGCTCCGTTGTGTTTTCTGCTTTTAATAATAACAGGCTGCGATGCTTTTAGCATGGTGGGAGGGTCCGCTAGCCCATTGTGTGGGATGAGCACTGCCAGCATGCTGCTGCATTTGCAGACAGATTTGCTTGGATTGGGTTGAACCTCTGTTTTTCTACGCCAGCCTAGGTGTTTGAGCCAATGCATTTGCACGGCGTGGTGGAGGCAGCGCTCTCAGATGGCTGCTGGTGGCCACCATGTGGACAAGAGGCAGGTGATGGCCTCTCCAGCAATCGGTGCTGCCAGAGAGGGAAGGAGGGCCGTGCCAGAGCCTTCATCTTCCTCTCCCACTGCACCTCCAGCTTCCCCATGGCAATACTCACTGCCTCTCATGGGCAGATGTGTCGGTGTGAAACCTGCTCGTGGCTGTGGCAGAAGGTGTTGGTGAGTGCCCCTGCTCCCTCCCGGGCATGCTTGGGGTTTGGCTTGAAAGATGAATTGGTTTCTTTGGCCACAGTTTGTTGGGTTTTCTAGACTGCCCCTTATCCCTCTGCAGTCTGGAGTGTTCAGCCAGTGGCTCTCCCCCTGAGGGGCAGGCTGTATGGACTCGAGGTCAGGGTGCTGCCTTGCAATCATGCATACATTAAAAACCACTGTTATAACCAGCTGGTTACTTCACATACTGAAATGCCTTCTGGTTAACTAGTCTTAATGTGGAGAAAGAGCGGGATGCTGACCTCAGCTATCCTTGCCTTAGCTCCTCATCCTGACACCGTGTCCTGTAGATGATGTCCTGCTCCTGCCGTGCCCCATCCCGGTGACAGCCGCTAACGTGGGCAGAGCCAGCACTACCGAGGTGTGCGTGGAGCTGCTGGCCTCGTTGGTCCCTACTTCCGTCTAACCAGCAGAGCGGAGAAATTGCCTGTTACCTCAGGTCGATTTTTCATGCACTCCTAAATTGCTTTGTATTGACACGCTGTCAGAAATGGATTGTCACATTAACCCAGCCAGAGCTGGGCTGGGGTTTGCAAGGGCCGATCGCTTTATAGGTTCGTGGTGGGCTGGGGGAATAATGGGGTGCCTGGGGGGCTCTCCCTTTCCTTGGCCTCCTCTTGGGTTTGAAGAGGTGTTTTGCAGCACTTTCTAGAAGTTATTTATGATGAAGTAGTGTCAGCAAAGGGGGAGGCTTGCTCTATCCTCCTCTCGTTGGACTTTTCTTCTCCCCAGTGATTAGATCATAAAAGTGACTCACAAGGCTGGTGGTTCCTCACCATGGCTATGTGGTCTGAGTCATGAGCTCTGCTCCCCAGTGAAGGTAGGTGACTGAAAGCACGGATCCCAAGGTTTAAAGGATATGGGTCCTACTCTACTCTCTTTGCTTCCTCACCTGGCTGTCCCTTCATGCTCTTCACAGTATTGCTACACCTTCCGTCTGCCGTATGTCAGATACACACAGAGACCAGGAGCTGTAAAGTTGGGTTGCACCAGAGGAAAACCACTGGTGACTGAGAAGGTGAGTGAAAGGAAGTGGGAGGGATGGACTCACCTTTCCCCATGAGTCAGCCTGCAGAGAGACTCCCATTTCTTCCAGCCAATTTTTTAGGTGACATGTAATTTCTAGAGCTTCCCCTCCCTACCCCTTATGACCTATTGCATTTTTCTAATAAGATTGCACCTCAGAGATTAGCAAATATCTTTTTCAGAGATTAGCAAATATCTTTTGAAGTCAGAGCATATGCCACCCACTCCACCATCCCTGTCTGTCCTGTGGCTAAGAAAAAAAACACTCCAGCCCTATGAGAGCTGGCAGAACACAGCCTGTGAGGCCAGAGCTGCAGACAGCTCTCATGCAAGGGGATCTTCCCCTCCGTGATGAATTTGAAAAAGTTCCTGGGTTGTGCTCCCACATCCCCTGACTGAGCTAGGGAGGTGATGGTGTCTCCTGATGGACAAGAGGCTTGTAGGATTCATGGAGGTTCACGTGGGAATGGTGTAGGCTGGGCAGCAGGCTTCTCATGTGGTTGCTTTGTTTGTGCCTTCCTCTGTCTTCTCCATGACTGCAAGGACGGGTCTGTTGTCCCATCTCACAAGATCTGTGAAGAAATGTCTGTTTGAAAGAGGTACGTTTTACACCAAGCAGAAAGTAACTTCAGGGGTCTAGTTTGGCTCCTCAGAAGCCCTGTTCTGCTGCCTCTCAATGTAGCTGCCCATATATCCATATTCCTGATCCTCCCTGAAGATTTGTCTGCACTTTGCCAGATCTACCTATGATTTCACTGTGCTTAGCTTATGTTCAAGCAACACCAGAATAATCTGGGCATGGGTATCTCTCTCACTGGCAGAGCCCAGTTCATGAGGTCTTCTCTGGGTACAGCTGAGATGTTAGGGTCTGCATGGGCAGAGAAATGTTTGTGACTCCTACCACATAGTTTAGCAGCTGGAGCCCTCTTCCTACAATCTCTTCTCTCTCTGAGAGAGACTTGAACCCACGGCTCCCTCCCCAAGAGACCCTCCTGGTTATCAGGGCATTCTGTGTGTAAGGTGGCAGGGGAGCCTGCTCAGTCTCTGCCATTTGAGCTTTTCCACTTTGTAAGGAATGATTAAACATTATTTAATCCCCAGATTGCAGAGGGGGAGTAAAAAGAAGTAGGACTTCCAGCCTGCAAGTGGGAGAGAGGTATTCCAGTGAACACTTATCTCAATTAAGCTATGGAGTCATCTCTCCTCCCCCTCTCCTCTCTCTCTCTTCAGCCCAATGAATATTTACTCATTTCATGCATGGTGGAAGAGACTGAGATTCATAATATGAGCACGCTCAACTAATCTCAAACTTCTGTGCAGTGCTTGAGGTCTTTTCTCCATTTCCTTCAGCTCCCAGAACAGGGAGGGACCTCGTCCCTCACCACTGCAGCACCCTTTAATGGACCATCTCCTCCTCTGGACCCCTGCTCCCTATTTTGCCCAGCTTTGCATTTCTTGGCAATCAGGATTGTAGGTTTCTTGTTGTGCAAGAAATATCTGGGTGGTGGTGGGAGAACTGCCCCCAGTCACTCCTGCCATGAGCCTTCCCTCTCCGCCTCCATCCTGAACATCTCCGTCCTTTTCTACGCCTGACACCACTACCTTATCACAGCTGAAAAGCATCCTTTCTTTATGGAACAGTCCCTGCCATTCCCCCGCTGGATTTGTCTATCTCCTTTCATTTTTTAGCTGTTCAGCCTTTTCTTCTCATTCCTGTGTACCCTCCCCCCGATCCATCAGGCTTCTCCCGAGCCCTGAAGTGTTGTGACTGGGGCTGACTGACAGCGCTTCGTGCCTGACACACGTCTCTGGGATGCAGCCCGGGATGTGTATGCGAGAGCGAAGCTGGATTGTAAAGTGCCGTGTGGGAGTCTCTGAGAAGGGAGTCAAAACACCGTCAAGCCCGTTCTTCCCGAGAGGAGGGGAAATGTTGTGAGGGGGTTGCTGATGCCAGGAGTGCCTGCACAGGTTGGGCAGGGGCCATCCTGCCCCCTGGGCACTGAAACCTGTCCTCAGCCTCTTTGTAGGATGAGTGCAAGGGAAGGGGGAGCCATGGAGGACCAACCTCTCCCTTCTCTGCATTTGTGGTGCTGCTTTCAAGGTCAAGCTAAGTCTACATGGACAGCATGGAGGAGTGAACTTGTGCTGCATGTGTCCTGAGCAGAGGGCATGGTGTTCCACGGTGGCTGCTTCTGGTGGCTTGGCAGAGGAAGGTGAGAACGTGGTGGCTGCAACCACATAGAGGGATTTGATTCATGGGAACTCCCTCTATCCATTCTTCATCACTGGTCTTTCTGGGCAGCTGTTTTCCGGCTTTCCAAGTTTTTCTTCTTCCCTCCCCAAAGCTGGAAAGGATAGAGACACCCAGGCCAAGCTCTGGCTGGAGCTGCAACTCTGAACTACCTCGTTCAGCCGCTGCATTCATCTTCCTTCAGCCCTGCCTGCGCTCTCAGGTTATTATTGGTGTGTGTGAGAGCTTCTGCAGAAGAATGGGCTCTGATGAGTCTGCAGAGAGCTGTGGCTCTGCTGGGGACAAGGGTAGGGTGGCCTGGCACAGGAGGCCAGGATGAAGTAGAAGCAGCTGTTGTCCTCCTCTCTCAGCCCACCTGCAGCCTCGAGACCGCTCGCCCAAGCTCAGCATTCATCTCATGAGGCCTGCAGCCAGCCTGCTCTGCTTTTTCCCAGCCAACGTCTGCTTTAGCTGAGCTGGCTGGGTTTGAAGGTCTAACACGCACTTGGAGGAGGCTTGTCGTTATGAGGGCCATGCTCAGTACCATCATGTCTCTCTCCACTGCTTGCCAGCTCTCTGGTGCAGAATAAATCCTCCTCCCTGAGCACCTCCTGTGTTTGTGCTCCCCGCCTTACGCAGAGTCACCTGAAAATCCTCTTTGCTGGTTTCCCCTGAGACCCCAGGTGCTGCTTGGAAATCTCTTAGAGAAGTAATCATCCCCTTCGGATTGCACCATCATTCACCTTCTGTCCTCCTGACAGTCCCAATTTGTTTGTGTGTTCAGCTGTAGAGTGCCAAAAGCAAAACACCGCACACTTCTGCTTTGTGAAGTTTTCTCCCCCCAGGAGAAAAGCAGCAGGGTTGCTGCTTGCCTCTTGATCTCCTCACCTGTTGCCCTGTGCCCTGCTCTTCTGGTGGCTTTGGCCACTACAGTGGGAGGGAGGGATAATAACTTGTTGCAGCTGTGTCTGTTCTTAACAGCTGGTGGGAGGTGTTTTCATGGCTTCTAGGTGAGGAAGATGCACATGGCAATGAGAGTGAGAAATAGGGGCTGGTTCTGGGGTCTGCCCATCCTCCCATATGGTGTTGGTGTTCCTCTGTCCTGCCAAGGGGTCACAGACAGGTATGGGTTGGAAGAGACTAAGGACCAGCTTGGAGCAGGCCAGCTTGGATCATCACTCAGGGCCTTCTTGACTTGACTTGACTACTGTGTTAGTTTTCCTGCTGTTTTCTTAATGTCCCATCTCCTTGCACCTGAATCCTGTTCTTCTCTGTCCTTTGTACTTCTTGTGTTTGTTTTCCCAATGTCCCGTGTTATCACTGAGGTCATGATCAAGTTTGCTGTCTGTCACTTTAGTTACTTTTCTTCTTCTGTTGCTCTTGTACATTTCTACTTCTACTTTTTTTTTTCCTCCCTTTCTCACTGTGCCCTTCTTGTCCCCTGTGTATCTTCCATGCTCTCACTCTTTTCAGGAAGCAGCAGCCCCAGATGGGTGTCCCTATGTCGTGTCCAAGTCACAGCTACAGCGTTTGAACAGTTCTGATTCTGCAAGAACTGGTAGATCAGAGGAGCCATGAGCACCGTGTGAAACAGTCTGCAAAATGCTCCACAAAGGAATTTGGCTCCTTTGGTGCTTCCTGCACAGATTTTCATGAGACTCAGCTGTCTGATCCACTCATCCCCACCTCTGGGCTGCTCTAGCCCAATTCCTGTTCATTTCCTTTCTTCCATTACCAGCAAATCCCTGACCCTGTTAGACTCACATCAGGTGAAGTATTTTCCTCTTTTCCGCTTCTTTCCCTCTTGCCTCACTTCCCTGCCCTCCCTTGTCCTGAGGGCTGTGAGATTTGGCAGGCCACAGCCAGGACCTCAGCACTCCAGGAATTTACTTTATCGTTGGCAGAGACCTGCCATCCTGGGCAAGCTTTTCCTCTGTGCAGGACACTGTGTGTGATGGATGGAGGTCACCTCCTGTGCACACGGAGTGTCTGAGTGTGCACAGTCTTTTGATACCACATCACAGCATCTGGAGAAATTGCCCGTGGGCTTTCTGCAGGACTGCTTGTGCAAGAACTGCATACAGACACGTGCCTACTACTGCCACGTGGAGACAGGTACAGAGAAGCCTGAAAGCCATCAGGCTGTATTTTAAGTCTATTCTCTCCACCCTTTTCTAAAAGAGCATCCCTCTTATGTCTCTAAAACTTCACCTTCCTGCATGTCTTCCTCAGTTTGTACAGCACTGGGCACATCGTGGGAGGAGGACAGCAGAGCTGATCCCTTGTAACCTCTTACAGGCACAACTTGCTATGCACACCGCAGCAGACACCTCCTGAGCACGTGTGTGTCAGGGATACACTGGCAGGGATCACCTCTTCCGAGAGAGACTTGGACAGAGCTGTGAAAAAGTTCCTGACTGACAGCATACCTTGGTTAAAAATCCCTTCACGAGCTTGCCTGGGACCAGCCATCGAGGGCCATCCCTTCTGAGAACAGGAGCAACTCCTGTGCAGGAATTAGCAGTCAGCACACCTGTTACTACAAGAGACTCCAGCTGAAAAGAGAAGAAGAAGGGGAAAAAAAAAAAAAAGAAAAATAAAAGAGAGGCACTTCAATTTGACGCAATTATCTCAATTTTCCCAGGATAAGGATCCTTGAGATATTTATCTGATTTACAAGGGTGTGCTGCAAGGTGGCAGGCACAGGGCCTTAAAGAGACATCCATCGACTCCCTGTGTGTGGTGGGGGGAGAAGAAAGAAAAAGGTGAGTGAGAAGGAGACACTGGAAGAAGAACCCTTTAGAACTGGGAAAGGAGGAAGGATGCCTGCTCACTCTGTATGTTTTCGCTTGTGATTAATAATTTGTGGAAGGCTGTGTTGACCACAAGCAGTGCTGACGGCTGGTTCAGAGAGGTGCCTGGGCAGAAGCAGAAGGGAGCAGGCAGGGATGGAGAAGTGGCAGAAATCCTGCTGTGGACTAGGATGCCTTTAAACTTTTAGCAGTTGGTACCTGGGTGAAGTATTTCCTGAAGAATTTCTTTTTCTTGAGTTTCTACTGGGGAAATGATGAGGGTTAGTTTTATATCAGGCCTGGAGAACTTGCTGGAAAGCAGAGTTGGCTCTCTGAATTTGGCTATAGTTAGACAAGATTTTGGTGGGGTTCATTTAGTTTAAGTGCAGATGTTCTGGGCTCGGAAAATGCAGATTTTCCTATACCCCCTTTTAGGAAAGGAGTGGAAATTGGTGGAGAGCAGAACTCACCTGACGCCCTTGAATGACCTCCTTTGGCTGGGCTGTACCGCTCTCATCACAAGACAGGCTGGGCCAGGAGCCCTCATTTTCTCCCATGCAACGCCATCAGACCTTCTGCTTTGTGCCTCTCCCCTGCTCTGCCCCTTAGTCTTCCTCCTCACCTTTGCAGCTTACATGACTCTGGAGGCCCTCTGCGATTTGGAGGATGCAGCTTTGCTCCCACTGTCACCCCTGACTTCACATCATCTCTACAGGGAGGCAGGTATGAAAATCCTCCATCCTTCCTGAGATTGTAGCTGCCTTACTGCTGTCCCTGCAGCTCTTCACACCTCCCTTTCCCTTCCGTCACATCCAGGCTTCTCGGCTTCCCTTCTCAGCCCTTTTGCCTCTCTGTTGCTCCTTCACGTCCACATCCCTTATTGTTCCTGCAGCACTGCCTTGTCACATCACACCCTGCTCCCGTGATTTGACAATAGAGAGAAAAAACGAAGGGATTCAGTGGAGTGGCGAGTGAAACAGGGAAGTGGAAGAGGAGGAGGAGAGAAAGGGAAGATCAGAGGGAGTGAGAGCAAACGCTTGTGGCTTAACACGGCTCGGGAAGTCACCTGGGGGAGTCATTGACTGTGGGGTCACTGACCTTTGTGAGTAAATTTCTGTAATAAACTGGAGAAAGTACTGGCAGGCCCAAGTGATTTACTTTAGAAATTGCTGTAGTTCAGCTCCCCTCAAATGCAATTCAGCAGGACTGTTAGCAGGTGCAAAGCCCTTGCCAGCCTTAATATGGATTACTTTTCTTTGTCCCTTAAGTTCATCTCTTTACAGCACAGTTATGTTCTCATAAATTTGTTGCAGTGTGTTTGCGGGCAGCTGGCCCATCGGAAAGGATTTGTGTCCACTGGAAAAGCCTGTTGGATAAAGTTCACTTTGGCAATACGCCTTCGTAAGGCCTTTCCTCAGCCGCATTGCTCTGCAAAACAATACCTTAGTTAAAGACCAACTGGCTTCACTGTGACAGAGGCAGAAACCCTCATTTCACACGTGGACACGTGTGTGTCCTCACTGGCTGCGGATCTCCCATATCCTGCCCTCCTGTCTGATAACTGACTTTGATGAATGAGGAGCAGCCTTAAAATGAGGGGAGAGATTTGCAGATCCCTGTTGTAAATGAAGATCCTTGTGCCACTAGAAAAGGGTTATAAGGGAATTTGTAAGTCTCCCTTGCACTGCAGAGGTCTAATTGTTCAGCTGTGTATATTAGTATTGCACGATGTTGGTATTAGTATAGAGTGTGTGATATTGGTATTGGTAATAGAGTGTAGGCTGTTCTCTGTTAAAAGCCTTGTGATAATGAATATATACCACATATGTCTTCTCTACAGAGTGGAGCACATGGGGAGTGATGTAGGGAGGTTGTTTAGGGTTAGTATTTGAGTAGTGGGATTCTGCTCTGTAGGAAGGGACCAGAATGTTACAAATTTTAGTGCAGCTGGGTGTATTACATATATCCCTGTTTATCTTCATCTTGGCCCTTCTGCCCACCGTGTCCTCCAGTACAGAGCAGAGAACCACATGGATACTTGATTCCACAGACCCTCTTGTTTAGGACTATGCTGTCCCAGCAGCCAGTGTCTTGTTCTTTCCTTCCACCTACATGTCCATCTCTCCAAGCAGCTCACAAATGCAATGGTTGCTCTGTGAAGGAGCTGTGGTTCCCAGAGGTGGGTGATGCAAATACCAGAGGCACTGCACTCGCTGCAGAAACAATGGCACGTGGGACGTCCTGGAGAGTCGTGTCGTGTTGTGTGGCAGCCGTGATTCCAAAGTGCTCTGGATCTGTGCGGCTGGAGAGGACACCCTTTGTCCCTTTGTGTGTCTGTACCCAAATGTGAGTGGTGACCCCATGGATGTGGCTGTGGGGGAAGTTCCCATAGGGACAGAAGCGCTGTTCAGCATGGAGGAGGAAGGTTGTGGATACGGAAAGGCCCTTGTCACCATCAGGAGCTTGTGGGACAGCCCTAGTATACCCTGGTAAGGAGGTTAATGTGAGGAGCATTTCCAGCCCTGGTGCCAGGCACCCACTGGCTCCTGCAGCCATTTCTCCCTGCCTGCCCCTTCCCACCGAGCTGCCTTTTATTCATGAGCTGCACTGCACGTCGAGGAGGAAAGAAAGAAAAACAGGAGGAAAAAACCTCAAAGACCAGCGTGTTCTTGTTGTTTGATCTTTGGGGAATGTTGAAGAAATCTCTTAGGCCTCCGTCTGCCTGGCTGGGCTGGTAAGGAGATTACAGGCCTCGTGTTTCCCCAGGAAAACACCCGGGCGCCAGGCCTGGCACGCTAATCCAGACAAAGGAGAACAGCGGCCTAATTAATTCTCATGTCTCCGAATCTGATAACAGCACAGTACACAGGCGAGTCCGTAAGGACTTAATGAGTTTAATCGACTGCACTTGATGATTTTATTTGAAACCTTGTGCCACACATTCAACTACGAAAAATGCACTTGAACTTGATTGGCAGCCGTAATCCAGGCAAAGCCGCCTTAATCCGTGGAGCTGGAGAATGGGGTGGCCGTGCTCCTCCCCAGCCGAGGGAGGATGGAGCTGGGTGTGGGGGTGACATTTAGGAAGGATGCAAAGGATTGGGAACAGGGAGAGCACGGGGAGTCTCTCAGGGAGGCCGGCGTCTGCAGGGGCTGAGCCAGGAATGTCTGGCTGTGCTTATCTGGTTTACTCCCGTATGTAAATACCTCTGTGAATGTATGCAGGCATGCACAAACAGTGATTTGGCTCAAAAAGGGGCACTAGGCTGAGGGAAGAAATAGCATGGAAGCCTGCTTTGAAAGTCCCTTGCCCCCCACCCTCTTCCATTTAAAGTAATTTGCAAAAGATTTTCAAAATTATAAACCAATTTGCAAATAAACGATCGTGATTAATGGCATATTCTTTAAGAGGTGACAGATCGGTAATAGATCCGTAATCCCCCTTATTATGCAGGAACCATTAACAGCAGTAGGCGTTAAGAGACTGCATTAAGGCTCGAATAGGCTCCAGCTATGTCTCTGGAGCAGAGCAGGTCAAGTTTTTGTTGCTATGGCTTCTTTACCTATAGCTGTGCTCATAATTGGTAGAAAGCAACATATCTCGCCGGCAGGAGGGTTTCACAGCTTACTCACCCCCCCCCGACCCTGTGCTAACACACGTGCTGTCTGGCAGCAGAGGCACAGCCTTCATCAGCTGGTGAGGGGTGGCAGCACCGTGGCAGGAGGGGCTCTTCTGTCCAGGTATCTCCTCTCCAGACCCCTGATGTTGTCTCTCTGGGATGATCTGAGGTGCTCCTGGCTGTGCCTTGGTGGCTCACGGGGTGCTGGCGGCGATGGGCTGTCCTGGGAGAGTGGATCTTCAGGTGGAGGGGTTTGGTGTGAGGAGAAGGGAGTGGGGGCTCCTATGTGGGGCTGGGAAAGGCTCTGCAGTACCCCCTCACACCCTGCCCAGGTCCAACCCCACCAGCTAAACTGCTCCTTGGAGACACCACTGTATCAAGAGCAGCGCCAGCATCTTTGATTCCCAGAACAGCAAGGATCTGCTGCGTGGAAATGAGCAGATGATGATCCAACAGCCAAAGCACACACCTTACTGTTGGAGGAGTGTAAGAGCCCATTCCAGCAATTCCCTTCACTCAGAGAAAATCCCTTCCTGACCTTGGACCCTGCGAGTGGTTTAATGCCTTGTACACCAAGGGGACAGGCCACACAGATGCCTGAGAAATTGTGTCTATCCCACTGAGCAGCAGCCTAGGGCAGAGGGCACCTCGCCTTGCTCTCTCCTTCACACTCCTGGAGTATGATACTGTGAATTTGTTGTATTCAAAAATAGCTGAACATGTTTAAATTTCATAGCCTTGGACTTTTTTTCTTCTTTTTTTCTCTTTGCCATTGCACATCCTGGCCTAGTGAAGTCCATTGCACCCACACTGGTTTGCATCTGCTCCAGGCTGGGACAGCAAGGACGAGCTAGGAAATGGGTGCTTCAAGCAGAGTTATGGATTAGTGAGCTGGTGGTGCTCCTTCTAGGGAAAAATGTGCGTTACGGGAATTGTTTTCAAGTGACTTAACACTGAGATCCTGCCCACTTCTTCTTCCAAAGCCTGGCACTTCTGGGAAGTACAGTGCTCGTAATTTAAGGTGTTGTACATCCTGGCTAATTACATCAGTCTTGGCCATAGTCTTTTGCATTTCTCACCTTTGAATGCACTGTAATGTTGCTATTCGCTGTTAAACAGATGTCGTATGCTTTCCCAGTAGTGGCTAAATTTTAATTTTTTATTGGGAAAAAAAAATAATTGGCATGTCTTTGACAGAAGAATGCTTGAGCATCTTAATGGGGGAGATCAGCTAGGGAATGGCAAAATATTTTTGTCTATTCCGTGTTGTTAGTGCTTTGATTAAACAGACTAATATTTCTGAGTCTGTCACTTAGCATGAACAGCAGGGTATTTTGTTATCAGGTAATTCCCTGCCTACGGTGGCTACACAAATGGTTGTATGTAAATCATGCGGTTAATAATACTCCAGTATTGAAGGCAGATGCGACTGCTAATTAAGACGCATCGGATGCTGGGCGAAATCACGGCAAGTATCATCCCCTGTCACATCACAGGGGCTCTCCTCTGCCCTGGTGGCTTTTGCCAGGCAGGATGCCATGGCCAAGGGTACAAGGGCCTCATCCTGTCTGCAGCTGAGTCCCAGGGTGCCAATGGGCTGGGGTGCAGTGAAACCAGCCCCGTGGGAGGGATGTGCAGGCAGCACCGGTGCGGTCGGCAAACAGCTGTGCAGCCAGCACACGCAGCGCCTCCGTCAAATATTTACCCTTTGTTTCAATCCTGACCTCTTCGCCTCTCAAGATAAATAATTTAGTGTGGAAGCTGTGAAGGTTAATCTTGCATTTATTTAATGTTACAGGACACTTGGCTCACTTGCAGCTAAAAGCCCTGCGTGATGATTGTTAGTTTATTTAATCCAAGTGCCATTTTCTTCACCCTCTTCTCCTCGGATTGCAGAAAGGAAGGAAGGAGGAAGGAAGCAAGAGGAGAAGTTATCTGTACGTGGCTTTTAGCCTCTGCTGTGGAGAGGGGTGAGCAGGGGGAGGAATCGTGCCTTTGCCCTCATGGCCAAGATGGATTTTCTCTCATTTGTCTAACAGCGTCTGGTGGCCTGGAAAGGAAACCTCTGCCATGGGGTTGGAAAACTAAGGCAAAGGGGGGGGTGTCTGGAGGTGTGTGGGGTCTGATTTACCTTGCTGGAATGACACTCTTAAATATGCATTTCTGACTGACCAGGAGGAAGAGTTTGGGTGTTTCGCATGTGGTTCAGCACACAGGGGCTCAGCACCTCTCCCAGCTGCCAAGGAGTGAATGGCCAGGAGATTTCAGGCTTCAGCGGAGGCAGGAACCAGCTTGTTGCCGAAGAATTTCTCACTGGTGGATTTGAAGACAGCAGGTAAGGTCACTTGAGAGTGGCTTGCATGGGCTGGAGGAGATGTTTCAGCATCATACTTCTCTTTGCTTTTTCTCACTTTTTTCTTGTTGAAATGCACAAAACACAAGTCCTCAGACTCTGTTAGCATGTCCACGCTCTTTAGATTTGTTGGAAAAAGCATCTGGAAAAGAAGCTGAGTAGTTGGAGCAGGCTGGCTGCTGAAGGTTGGCTTTTGTAGTCTAGCCCATCACTCTGGATCAGGCACTTGGCATCAGCTGCTCCCCCCCAGCTGTGGCTGGGGCAAATACAGCCTTTCTACACCGGGTGTCTTTATGCATTCAGGAACAGACTGGCTTGGTCAGCAGGCAGTGAGGGATCCAGTGAAGAAACCTCCCTCCCAGCCCCAGCTCACGCCTTGCTAGTCCTTAGCATCCTCTTTGGGAAGCTGTGCGTTTCTCTGGATGCACTCCTCACCTCTCACAACGGTAACTACACTCATCCACCACTTTAGAGCATCTTGTTAACTTCCTTCCCACCCCTGTTTTTAAAGGCCTCCTAAGGAGAAACTGCTCCAACCTCTCTGAAGCAAATAACCCCTACATCTGGTAGCATTAGGGCCAGCTAGAGAAGAGGAGGAGTGTCGGAGGATGCTGGCAGTGCGATCACACCCTAGCATAGTCACATTTTCACCTGCTCATGTGGTCTAGCACAGCTGTGACTTGCTGGTAATTACTTGCTTGTAGCTGGTGTGAGACTCCCAGTTTTAAAAGCCATCTGCTTGCCTCCAGGTCCCCGTTGCGTGATCTTTCATTTGGAGTTCACCTCCACAGTTTATGGCAGTTTCCAGGCTAACAGTCCAGCTGGAGTTCCTCTTGACTCCATTCCATGCTGGCTATGTCTCCTTTTAAAGGCCATTTTGCTTCTTTCAGTGAACACCAACGGGAGGCTCACAACATAGCCTGGCAGTGTTTGACCCAAAGGGAACAGCCACGTGTGGTGGGCAGGAGCTTTGAGCGTCTGGATGTTCATTTGTGCAATCCAAATCTCCTCGGGTAGAGATGTGATCAGAATGACCTTTCCCATGAGCTTCAAGTGCTTCAATATTAAATGGGAAATAGCACAAGATCAATGTGCCTCGTGGCTTTTTAATGCCTTAGTCTGAACCAGGAGAGACAGTAATAAGAAAAAGTCAGAATAATTTAATAAATGCTCTGTTCTTTTTTTCCTTTTTTCTTTCTGGAGAGGATACTAAGATGTGTTTGGATTGGTGAACAGGTTTGGTTTTTGTTCAAGGCAGTAATTCAGCTTGTTTCTTATTTCATTTTGATTCTTGTTGACATGTGCTGGTTGGGATATGAGCATGGAAGGAGAACAACTCTGCCTCTCGGTTCCCCTCCACCCACTGTCCCTTGGAGAGGTCCTGCACATGCAAGCAGTGTCTGGAAGTAGGAACACCCACGGAAAAAGCATATAGCGACTTGTGCCTGCTTAATAAATGCCCCTATATAGGAACATGTCTGAGTTGAAGGTTTTCCAAGGGCAGCTGGGAATTCACAACCATGATCTGTGTTTGGCTCCCCGGACTTTAAATACACACGCGCGTGTGGATGTGTTGCTCAGACTCTTTCATGTCAGCCTTTATACACCACTTCCAAGGTTTAACGCTTTAAATCATGACAAACACACTTTAACACCCTCATAATCTAAGCAGCTCTGATCAAACTGGCACTCAGTCTCATAACACCCTGCCACCTACACCGGTGTGCGCATTGCTGCCAACCTTTTGGCAAGCTCTTAGCTTTTGTGCTAGGACAAAGTGATTGACATTGCTTTGTGTGTCTCCATAATGGAGCAACGCTGCCGTTTAGAGAGATCAAATTCACATCAGTGTCTCCCCAACAAACCTGCTCTGCCAATTGCTTTTTTTTCTTTTTTTTTTTTTTTTCTCCCTCCCCCCATATTTAAGAATATATCAAGGCAGCCAGACGCAGTGGCTGAAGGAAGCAGCTAATTCCCCTTACAAGCCTCTTGCAGAGAGAAGTGCTGGGCAGACTGGCTCTGAGCATGGGGCTGGAAGTGTGAATGGGATTAGGGGCATATCTGGTGGCCCAGCTTCCCAAAAGCCAATTAATGGCTGCTACAAAAGGAGGATTTTACTTCTGAGGTTAGAAATGCATCTTTGAGTCTGGAGTAGAGGGGGGAAAAAATGCTAGAAGAGCTCAAGACTCAAAGGGAAAGTTCAAAGGGTTTTTATTTTTTATCCTTTTTGCAGTTGGAACTCAGAAAGGAGGGGCTCGTGCTTGTGTTCTTGTACAGCTCTCTTCCTTGTCCCAGCTCTGCCTTTCCTTGTTGATCCCAGCGGTAACGATTTCTCTCTGGTGCTACTGAGGAAGAGGTGCTTGTAGAGGTGCTCATCCTATATGGGCACAATCCAGCACAGGTCGGGGTTGTCCCACGGAGCCCCACAGCAGCTGTACCCCCACGCATACTGGGGCTCAGAGCTGCTTAGCAGATCAGTAAAACATGTCCAAATTTCCTCACCCCTCTTTTTCTTTTCCCCCAAGAATCTGAAAGTGGGATTCCTGGAAAGCAGTAGGAAATAACAAACTTAATTTTGGGCTTTACAAACCGTACCTCTCTGGCTCCATCTCAAAAAGCTTTCTCCTCTTCTCTGGAGATGGTTTGATGTGGCTGAACCTGCTTGGTCCTGGGCCTTGTAGGGTGCTGGGGTCCGTGGTAGAGACTTTCCACCTCTCTGTGGTGGCCTGGGGGTGACAGCTCTGCAGGGATGCTCTGTATGATCCAAGTGGGGCCCTGGGACGGCCTCACAAGAGACCTCAGCCTCACCACTGCCTCTCCCCGCTCCATATGACATCCCCATCTCTATTTACCCAGAGCTTTGGGATCGTCTGTGATGGAGGCAGTGCAAGCAATTATCACTGGAGCTAGGGCAGGAAGCAGAGGGCTTGTTTGTGTTTTTGGATCCACGGCTGTTTGCTCAGCTGCATCTGTATCACTGCTAATTATTAAGACATTTATTACCATGCTTTATTTATGTGTGCGGGTGCTTGTTTACCTGTCTGTGAAGCCTCCAGCTTTCCTTGCTCAAAAAGGAAGGATTTTGGATCCGCAGCAGGATGGGTGATGACTCCCAGTGCTCCCATCCAGGAGCAGGGTACCTCTGGCAGTCTGGGACCCTTCTGTTTAATTTCTGTTCCTTTCTTCCAAGGGCTGAGATTTTTCAACTTACATGGATGAGCCCATGTCTATACAATGAGACCCACTGAGCCCACAGGACTGTCTCTCCTCTCCATTTTTGATGTGTCCCTCATGCTATTTTAATCAGAAAGTCCTGCATTCAAGGGGCTCCTCTCGTCTATAAATCCTGCTTG